ATTTCAGATCCAAGAAATAAAGGAAGACCAGAAGGCTTCCGTAGAGGGACAAGGTGCTGCCCTTTGCTCTCCCAGGGGACTCAGAGGAAGGGAAGGCTCTGAGTGAGGACAAGGCCATGCTCAGGGAGGAGAAAGGCAGTGGCCTCTGCTCGGCCACGGCAGCAGAGCCCAGCATAGTTATACAAGGTGGGACTCCTAATGCCCTCTAGTTACATGGACAGTGGTTCAGAGGCTGAACCAGAGACCGGCTCTGAGCACAAAGGGTCCTGCCCTCTTCACACTGAAGGCCCCGGCTCAGTCCTCATCTCTCGCTTATCTTTCTTCCCTACCTTGGAGCTCTTCAGCACTGTCATGGCTTTGAATACTCTCTAGATGCTGACAGCTCCATGCTCCGACCTCAAGCCATGTGTCCAACTATTTACCTGCCATCTCCCCTGGGAAGTGAACAAGACACGTCCCAGCTCCCGCCCCCTCATGACAAAGTGCTCCACCTTCCCAGTTGCTACCAGCTCCATCCTCCCACTGCTTAGGCCAAAACCTCACAGACATCCTGGACGCTTCTTTCTCCCACTCCCACACCCAGTCTGTCAGGAGATACTGTTAGTTCTATTTTCAAAACAGACTGAGAAACTGACCATTTTCACAACTTCTGTTGCTGCTGCTTTGTTGCAGGCCACCATGCCCTCCAGCTGATTACCGCATGCACTTCTACAGGGTGCTCTGTTATCTGCCCTGACTCCCGTGGGCAGTCAAGTCATCCTTTGCAAATGTAAGTCAGATCACGGGACACCTTGTTTCAAAGGCACTGGTGTTTCCCCTCCTTGCTCAGCATAAAAGCCCAAATCGAGTCCCCCTCTCCAAGTCCCGTCTCCTCCTTCTGCCCTGCTCATTCTGCACCAGCCACACAGGCTGCTGCTCCTGCCTGAGAGCGCTTCTCTGATACATGCATGAACTCCTCACCTCCACCCTAGTCAAAACAGCACCTGCCTTCACTGCTCCCAGCACCTCTGACCCCATGTACCCAGCACTATTGCCTTTCCAAAGCACTTCTCATCTTTTAACAGATGGCATGATGTCCTTATTTTCTGTACTTATTTCATTGCTCACTGTCTGATTATTCCCCTGATCCTAGAATGCCAGCTCATGAGGAAGAGACTTATGTTTTGTCCACTGATAATGTTCCAGGTGCCTAAAATCATACCCAACACACAGAAAGGGAGACAATAAATATGGTGGAAAGAATGAATGGTGGCTCCTGGCAATGGTGGGAGTTCCATTTCCTGAGAGGGAAGGGTGCCATAGCCTAGTAAATGCAAAGAGGAAAGAGAGGATGGTTAAGGGGAGATGAATTTAAATGTGAGGGAATATTTGGAAAGCAGTTAGGCTGAATATGGCTGTTAGGTGAGGGAAATGATGAGAGTGGATTTCTGTAGGTTTAAAAGAGTCAAAGATGACGAATTACAGGTGAAAAGCCCTCATGGATTCCTCTGAGGCTTTTAGTGTGGATTCCTGCCAAATAGAATACATATCTGGCAATGGATGTCTTGTGATGACAGCAAGACTAGAAAATTCTGGGAAGGCCTCAAGTGGCACCTGGGAAAAGCACCTTGGATCTGTAAACATCCTGGTACCAGGGAGTGTCCAGACCCGTAAGTTGCCAGTGGCCTGAAGGCAGAACCATATGGGCGGAGGGACCTCCCTCTGAGGCTGAGCATTACTGCTCATATAATTTGTCATCTATATTGGTTGCTCTCCAAGTGCAGGTTTGTGCCACAACTGTGCCTGTGGAACAGCCCTATTGAGGCTTGAGTTAGGGGCAGCAGCCAATAAGCCATACTTGCTTGGATCTGGCTGCACCTGTTATCGGCCTCCAAGAATCTAATCATATCCAGGAAACAAGGGCTCTCACAGTGTCTGCAGGTAGTAAATTATAAATAAATACACCTGGCCAGAGGTTAGCCGCCCCCGCCCTCCACCCCAGCTATTCCAGCAGGGGTTTGGGAGGAAATGTCATTTGCTTGGGTGCCACAGTCTCTCCCATTCAATAGCACTTTACAGTTTACATAGAGTTTTAAAACACATGCTCTTATTTGAGCCTCAAAGCACAGTGACATAAACACCATCATATTCCTTTGACAGGTGAGGAAGCTAAATCTTCTGCAGGAAGAAGAAGCAGCAGACTCAACAACCTTCCAGCTTTGACTTCACATCTAGCTCTCCCTTCCTTTCTCACCCCACCTTCCTGCCAGGTGATGTTACATTTGTTGTTTTTGTTCAGAAGCTTTTAATTGTCTGGGAAAGGGAGAAAGTGTTCTGGAGATAAGTGTTGGGTCCCCAGATACTTCCCCTGGCTCTCCATTACACACATTGTCCTCATTTAATCTCCAGTGTGACTTCTCACAAATCTGGAAGAGTGAGGAGCACCTGCACATGGGATGAAGGGAGGCTGGGAGGAGTTAGGGGGCACATTAGAACTCCAAGGGTGAGCTGATAAATAAATTTTTGTTTAGAAAATGAAAAAAAAACCACCTATGGTTATTTTAAATATAAATTACAAAATGTAAGGGCTGAACAAATCCTGGCTGGTGTAAGTACAGAGAGGGAGACATGTGAGATGCATGTTTATCTAAGGGCATCATGGATTAAAGAGATACAGGAACCCTGGCCCAGGGCAAAATGAATTAACTGGCCCCACCGGGAGGCCTGGATTCCACTGTGTGGCACAGAAAGCTACTTAATCTCTCCACCTTCATCTTCAGCATCAGCAAATTAAGATGATAATTCTTGCCTGTCAAATTCACAGGGTGGTTCAGTTATAGAAGATAAATTCAAGGGTGAATTGTAAACAGAAAACCATTTACAAATGGAAAGGTGTGCATGATGATTTCATGCTCTTTTCTTGTTCTGCACCTCACTCTACCCCCAACATAGCCACTTTTTCCATGGAAATTTTATACCCTTTTGCTTTGCCCTTGTTTTTCTTTTAAAAACACCAACAGTTTGGGGGAAAATGGCAGGTTGAGTGTTGAGTGGGCCTTGCCAATAGTGAGTACCCCAGAGAACGCCCTGGGATGGCAGTGGGTCCTGTCTGCATGCTGGGAGCAGCTTTCTGTCACCTTCCTGCATTTTCCTACTACCAGGCTCCAAGTCCTTCACATAGATTTTCCTGCGGCTCTGCACTGCACGACACCCTTAGAAGGCAGGGCCCACTGCTGGAAGGCAGGGCCCACTGCTCCCTTCCCTGTTCCTCTCCACAGTGCTCTCTCAGCTCAGAGCACTGCAGAGTGCGAGCTGCCAGCACAGAGGCTCTGGCCGTGACATGCACCTGTGTAACTCATGGCCCTGAGATACAGCTTAGGCCTGTCCACCCTGCAAAACTGGGAGTGTGCTCAGGAGTGTGAGGGCAGGGTGTGAGGGGAGGGGGGCACAGAGCATGAGTAGCAAGATTGATTTTTAAATTTTTTATGACCTACTATTTACTGGAAGAAGTCAAAGGAGAGTGTACATACACCCCCCCACACACACACACATCACACACACACACACACACACACACACACAGAATGACACAAAGATGACTCAGGGGGACAGGGGGATTTGGGACACGAGACAATGGAATCTGGAGCTGCAGAAGGAGCAGGAAGGGCGCAAGAGGCTGATGGGGGCACGTATGGAAAGTGTGACAGCCTCCCTCCATTGTCTATCTGTTCGGAGGGGAGCAGACAGGGGCTTTGAATCAGGGGAATCAGGCAGATAAAATAACATGTCAGTTCAATTGACTGGGAGCAAAACATGGAGTGGAGGGGCGGGGGAGGACACAATGGGGAGATGGGAGTTTCAAACATCTTAGATCAAAATTGTACAACATCTGCTCCGTGCTGTTATTCAACATTTCAGTGCATCAAAAGTTTGTGCAAACATTACCAAGTCTCATAATTCAGGAAAACTAATGACAACAAAATTAAACAATACATGTTAAGACTAACCGCAGAGTGCTTGCCTATAGATAAAGAGAGAAGGTTTAAACATGCCAGGTAACGGAGAGACGTGTGCAGGAACCGTTAGGAGCTGTGTAGGAGGAGGCAGCTCTCAGGGGAGGCGGCAGGAGGCCTCACTGCGCAGGGCCCGGGGTTCTGTCTGAGGCCAGGGAGCCAGGGCAGGGTGTGAGGGGTACGGCAGTGGGGACAGCCAGGTGGGGGCAAATCAGTTCTCTGGGCAGGTTCATGTGGGAGGGAGGTGCTCCTGCCCCAGCCAGAGGAGGGAAAGCACCCCCGGAGAGCTCCTGGTCGTCACCCAGACACCTCTTTGGCCACTCTGGAGAAGAAGGGTACAGGCAGGAGTCTGTACATGGCTGGTTCTCTTCTCTCCCAAATGATCTTGGAGGGCTGCTGACATTACATAGGTTGGAGCCCTTTCAATGTGAATGTAATGGGCCGCGCCTTGAGCTGACGGCGCAGGCAAAGCCGGAGCCTTAACTCCAGAGTCCCACTTTGAGAGAGCTCCTTTCCAAGATGTGGTGTGTCGGAAGGCAGGAGAGGGAGGGGCAATGGTCTGGAGGTGAGGTGGGGGTGAAGAGAGGTTTGGGTCCCTGCCCCAGCAGCTGCCCAGAAGTTGTAACTATCCCTTGGTTTTCTCACTCCATGATCCCCATAGCTGCATCCTCCTACACAGTGTGAATCATGCCAGGCTGATTGTAAAAGGAGAGAGAAAAAGATGCAGCAATCAAAACTTAAAAGGAAAGGGGAGGCCTAACTCGTTCCAAAGTTAAAATAATAAATGAATAAATAAATAAATAATAAATAAAATTTCAAAATAAAGCAACAAGAAAAAAAATCCTTTAAACCAATTTAAACAAACAAACAAACAAAAAAACTAAATGAAAATAAGGAGGTGGGGAGGAGAAAATAAACGGAAGGATAAAAAAAAAGCCAAAAAACCGGGGAAAGACAATGAGTGTTAGAGCAGGCACGGACAGTTAGGTACAGACGCCATGTACTTACGTTTACCTCGGTGATTGCTATATCAACAATGCTACCCACAACAATCAAGGCGTCAAATGTATTCCATGCATCACAGAAATAGTGCTGCATGGGGCAGAGAAGCCGAGGAAAAGAGAGAGAAGAGAGAAAAAAAAACCAACAACAAAGGAGAAAAACAAAACAAAAAGGAAGAGGAGAAATGAAAAAAAAAAGCATGAAAGAAAGGAGAGAAGAGAAAAAAATGAGAAAAGAAAGAGGTTACGTGGGCATATTAAATACTCTCTTACCACTCTACAGCTCTGGCGGCTCAAACCTGGGTGACCTGGTTTTTGCAGGGTGGAGAGGCCTGACAAAAGCTGGGTTAGTTCAAAGGTTATGCTGGGCTGTGGACACCCTGAGAGGGGTCAGGCAGTCTCCCATGCCTGCTCCCTCCACTCGGCTCCCAGCTCCTGGGCCCAGCACAGCGGGCTGAGCTGGGACAAGTGGAAAAAAAGGAGGAGAAGCTCCCACTTTTTTTCCCTCACAGGACGACGGCAGGTTCAATAAAAAGCATGACTGGAAGGGGGTAAAAACAGGAAATTAAACAAAATAAATAAAAGGAGGTAAAGAGAGAGAGAGTGAGAGAGAGAGCGAGAAAGAGAGAGAGAGAGAGCGGGAAACAGAGGAGGCAGAGGGAAAAGGAAGGAGGAGGTTTCCTGGGGAGGGCAGAGTCATACTCACATTAGTTTCACTGAGAATGACGTCAATTATGCTGCCAATTACGATGAGGAAGTCAAAAACATTCCAGGGATCACTAAAGTAACCCTACATAAGGGAGGGAGGGGCAGGCAGGATGGGGATTAAAAAGGAATATTAGACAGACAAGAACAGAGCAACGTTATCACCAGAATCACCGTCCGGCACCTCAGTGTTGCTTCTGGTGTTCCGAACACCCTTGCCGTGGCCAGGAGCCCAGGGCCCAGGGAAGAGGGGGCAGCCAATCCTCCTGCCCTGCCTTTCCAGAACCACACGGCTCCCCTTCCGCCCACCTCACCACCCTCCTGCACAGAAGCCCTTTCTACTTCCCAGCAGGGTAGGAGAGGGCATGGGGGCAGGCAGTGCAGGCTGCAATAGTGCAGGGCTGTGTCTGGACTCTTCAGTCTACATTCAGCATCTTCCACACCCCCAGTGCTCTTGCATCAGAAGGGCCTGTCTGCTGGGAGAGAGGGGTCACAGATGGATGACCCCTTAGAGGAGAATGGGCTGTGGTCCTGTGGGTGACCTGGGAACTAACAAGAAGCAATCAAAATGGTTCAGAAGGGTGACCCAGAGGTGACTCATATAAAGTTTAGCAATAACAAGGGGACCATATCACTAAAACGATACCTATAAAAAGCTGGGCTCTATGCAGATAGAATCAGAAGTCACCCTTTTTGCAGCACTGGAAAGGCCCCGGTATTTCCAGGGGCAGCTTTGTCCTGGCAAAGCCTTTCCTAACTGAAAGGAGACAGAGCCCAGGTCAGTGTTACAGTTTGGCAATGCAGGACATGGCCCTAGACATGCTCTAGGGATGTCTTCTGAGTAGCTGCCCCAGGCTCCTTTTCCAGCATTGCCACTCTGATACAGGGCCCCACTGACATGCAGATGCCACCAAAGTGAATGAGGTTGTCAGAGCCCTTCCTGAGAACTGGACTCATAGGGGTAGTTTAGGTGGAGGGTATGGATGGGGACTCAGGCTTCTTAGGAAGGAGTGCCATGGAGGAGAGGTTCTGGCACAGAAGGGGAAAACAGTGTCCCGGCTTTACCATTTCACTCTGCACGCATAGATTTTTTTTTTTTTTTTGCTTTTCACCATATTTGGAGAAGAGAAGAAAAATATTTTTGAGACTTATTTTTGAGAGACTTGAGTACTTGGACAACTGGTCAACCCAGGGATAGGCTGTTCCAGACTCTTTAGAGCAGCGGTTCTCAACCTGTGGGTCGAACGACCCCCTTTGGGCGTCCAACGACCCTTTCACAGGGGTCGCCTAAGACCATCGGAAAACAAAAAGATATTTACATTACGATTCATAACAGTAGCAAAATTACAGTTATAGAGTAGCAATGAAATAATTTTATGGTTGGTGGTCACCACAACATGAGGAACTGTATTAAGGGGTTGTGGCATTAGGAAGGTTGAAAACCGCTGCTTTAGAGGATTCCAGGAGTCCGGGGTGGGTGCACTCTATACAGAGAGTGGACCATTTGCCTCTCTGAGAGGTGTGGGAGTCTAGAGAGCAGTGCTGTGGGCTATCTGCCCACAGTTCAGGAAAGCCCAGGAACAGGACAGCCATGCTCCCCATGGGTGGAGTGGAAAGGACCTAGTACTAAACACATTTGTTTTCAAAAAAGACCATTTGCTCCTTCAGTTTTTAAAGGGATGTCTGCAAAGGGGACAAAACATGGCTGGAGCACATTTACGCAGAAGGACCAGAATTTTCCTATTCTCTGAGCCACTAGTTGGCTTCTAGGAGATGAAATTCTAGTGATTGGCGAGCGGGTATGAAAGCATTAGGGTTCCTCTGAGTTTCCCAGATCTCTCTCCCCTGCTCTCTACAAGTCTGCCAACTCTCCCTTTTTATTTTTTACTCACAAGAGCCAAGAGTCTGTGTTCTTCCATTTCCTCCTGGCTCTATCCAGCTCCCTCAACTTCCCCACTTCCCAGCCATGCCCTCTTTCCAGAGGGATCACAAGACATGCTGTCCTAGGGCTGTTATTCTTAGTGTGGGAGGTCAGGTCACAGGGAAAGGGGCCTCTCGGTTCCCAGGCATTTCTGCCAAGAGAAAACAGAAGCGCCATCGCGGAGACTTTGGACAGCCAGCCTGGAGAAGCAGGGGTTGGCCAGGGCACGGGTTAGGTGAGGGTCAGCTCGGAGTCATGGCTTTCTTGTTGGCTTCTCAGAATATTTTTCTGAGTATACAAGAGCCTTTGAGGCAGAGAGAGGCCTCTCTCTCTCCCATTTAAGTCACATGCTATGAGCAGGAAACAACCAATTCTCTTTCAGGTTCTTAGATATCATTCTCAGGGCAAATGGAGAACGATGATTTTGAAGGAAGGGAGGTGAAGAGTGAAGACCTCAATGAACTATAAATATGTGTGTGTTTTAAAATTAGATTTTAGAAAACACTGGGGGAATATCTCTAGATAGGAATACCATCTTTGTGTGTAGAGCTATTTCAGAAAGGAAGAGGGGCAGCGCTGTCGAGGAAGAGAAAGGAGAAAAACAGGAACCAGGGCAGAGTCCAGGATGTTCAGCATCTAGCCTAGGAAATGTGGTAACAAAACATGATTTGGGTGTGGGGGCAGGAGGAGAGGAAGGAAAGGTGGAAGGCTCAGGGCTCAAGAAAGGAGGATGAGTTGGAGTCTTTCATCCACCAGAGACCTGAAACAAAATGGGTGAGTTGGCCTTGGTCTGCAACACCTCTGAGAGGAGGAAAGGGAAAGGAAGAGAGGCAGAGAGCAGGCAAAGGAAAGGTTAACACACTGAGGTTAATCATCTGGTGAGCACCAGGAGAGGGGCTGAGACCTAAAGGGACCCTGTCAGCCTCCTGGCTGTGCATCACTTGTCACCCTTCCTCTTGGGTTTCTGTGTGTATATGCAGATGGAAGGAAGCACAACACAGTCAGCTTCTCCTCGACCACGGCCCTCTCCCATCCCTTCACAGCTGGCTGCCATTGGGTTGACTGGGCTGTGGAGAGTCAGGCCTCATGCTTCGCCCTTGCCGTCAGCAGGCTGTGCTCCTGGAGGCTTTTGACTGACTTCTCTGGCCTGTAGCAAGCTACTTGGTGGGCCCAGTGTCTGGCTGCAGAAACCAACCAGTGCCCTTGTTGCCAAGGGCTCCTGTGAACACAGCCCTGAGGAGATTTGCATGTATCTGGAATGCAGGAGTGATGGAGCATGGTTAGGGAGGCTGGTGACAGGATCCCTTTAAGAGGCAGCTTTTAACCCTGACCCATCCAGCCACCTTCCCACCCCTCTGTCCACAGCCCATCAATCCTCCAAGGTGGATCATGAAGATGGTTTCAGATCCAGCTGTCAGGTCAGCCTCATCCTCCCACTCATTCAATAGTCCCTTCCTCCCACCCGTTCCACCCCCATTCCCAGAAACAAGGCTGATAGCCCCCATTAGGTCAACAGATTATCCAAGGGACACACCTGGCCAAACCCCTAAGCGGGTGGGGCCTGGGAGAACTATTTTCCCCCTATACTCTCTGGAGTGTAAGGCCCTAGTGTTCTCTTATTCTCTCTCTCTCTCTCTCTCTCTCTCTCTCTCTCACACACACACACACACACACACACACACACACACACACATCTATTTTTGCCCACCTCCTCATTTGCTGGAAACCATGGGTAATGGGGATGTTGGGGGTATAATAAAGGAAGGAGGATGGGAAAAAAAATCAGAGTTCTTTTTCTCTTACAAATCACTTTGACCTGGAGCCACATTATACCTGTCATGCCTTTCTCTGGTGACGGGTCCCAAATGGTAAGGCAGAAGTCAGGGTTAGGGACAGGGTTTTCCTGGCTGGGCCTGAAGCGGTGAACCAAACCTCTTCATGCTCAACTCCTCCGAGTCACGCAGGCCTGACTGTCTAGGAGGGGCGGTGCTTTTGGGGCTGGCAGCCTCTCCCTCTCAGTCCCTAACCCTGAAGAGTTAGTGGAGGGGCCTCTGTGTGGCCCTTTCCCGCAAGCTGGCCGGCAGCTGTCCTGTGACCTGCAGTCACTTACACCTTGGGGAGGAAGCTGTTCTCCTGGATACTGCTGCCCCTCCAGTCACAGGCTGCCATGGGCTGAGAAAATGTAGACCAAGTCGATATTAGCATCAGCAAATCATGACTAGGAAGGAAAGACTGTTGCAAAAGTATCATGTGATGCATTTCGCATGCACAAGAATTTTGGATTTTCCTCCCTTTTGGATTATCTGTGCTCTGATTCACCTCCCTCACTGGGGCTATTCCAAGTTGAAAGAGGCAGCATACTAGCTTAGAGGGGGTAGGGTGTCTGGGTTCAAATCATACCTCTGGCACTTATTAACTGGGTAACCATGAGCAAATAACCTCTCCATGTCTCAGTTTCCCCACCTATAAAATGGGGTTTTGGTGAGCTAATACCTGTAATGCACTTAGACCTGAGCCTGGCTGAAGTAAGCTCTAAATAAGTATTAGCTACTGTCATGATTACTAGAGGTGATCTGTTAAGTAGGGTTCATAGGTTCAGTTGTGGGGGTGGCATTGAGCAGAGGGGACAGCTAAGCCTAGGTGTGTGGAAGGAGGGAAGAGGCTGAAGCTCTGGAACCCTGAGCTCACCTTTCCTGTGGCTCTAAGGCCGTTTCTGCCTCTCTTGAGTCACTACTGAGTAGTGTGACTGTCTTAAGATCCTTGAATGAAGTCTGGCTGGTAGTATTTTGAGATTAGTGACAGTGTGCAAGCTGTCATGGTTAACTTTTGTTAGGCTCAAGTTTATGAAGACAGTCAACTGCCAGGTTCTGAGAAACCACTATGCCGATTGGGAGAAGACCCAGCTCCCTCTTCTCTGCCTAGGGGGCTGAGAACAGAGGAATGAGTGACTGAGTGGGTCCATTTTCCAATCTGATCCTGGAGAGCAGGGCTGCTGTGGGAGAGGTGGTAAGCACATGCCTTTGCCCTTGAATTCTGGATTCTTAGCTCCTTTGTTGCCCAGAGCAGAGTTCGCTGCTGTGATCTTCTCAGAGGCAGCACAAGCTTTAAAATGGATTGGTGGTAAGAAGAGATTCATAAGAAATCCTGCACACCTAGGGTTGTGC